ATCCTCTTCAAAAGGGAAGGCTAAAATCCTATCCAGTGATCTTTTAAATTTTTCAGGTTTTTACTCCTGCTGAAAATATGTATTCTAAATCTTTTGAGCCTTTTCTTGCTATTTCACATCTGAAAGCTGCATGGTAATATGTACTCCTTATAGTGCTAGTAAACTCTTTGGTTTTTCTCTCTTGTTAGATTATCAGACTGCATTTTGGACAAGCAAGATGTGTGACTAAGAGAGGTTCATTGGTCTATTCTGGCTTAAGGGACATTATTATTAATAACCAAAAGTAGAATTTGAGGGGTTTAGGGGGGAAAAAATGCATCTAACTTAGTCTCCAAAACATACTTGCACTTTAAATAGATGTGCAACGCTAAACGTCCCGTATTTTGTAAAATTTCCTGGACTCAGAAGAAATACCAGTGGTTGGCCTGTTAAATGACTGTCTTTATTTGGGGAACTTTCGATGTTGAAGCCTAAAGGTCAGTGTGCACCGAATGCCATTGGGGTTGACAGTGTGAGTGCATTCAGGAACGTGGAATCAGCTGCTGCCACCTCCTGATCAAACATTGAAGTGTACTGGCTGCTCACTGTATCACTTCCTAATAACACACTTTAAAATCCTTAATATTGAAATTAAAGAGTAGTTACTGAATATAAATTCCTCTTGTATTTTGAGACTACTACTTACTATGCTATTTTCTGGAAATTCTCAGGGGTCTACATGTTTGTAAAATGCAAAACTGTTATTTCACAACTGAAGAGTCGGCCCTAGTCTCTTTACTTACCTTGTTACTCAGATGATTATTTACAATGCTTTTGAAGCCTGAGTCATTATTTTCAAATAAACAGACTATCTTGCAGCAATTACACTTTCTTAAATTGTTCATGCACAAGCACTGGGGACAGTACCACTGGAAAAAATTACTGATGAGGTTTTGTTTTGTTTCCCCCTCCAAAGGCTTTGGGAGTTTCCAGTCAAAATGACAGATCAACAATAAAGAAAAAAATTAAGGATATTAGAAAAACACAGGAAAAACTGGAAAAGCAGAAGGAAAAGGTTCAAAAGAAGGAGAAAGAAGTTCGCAAGACTGGCAGGGTGGTGGCCACTCTTGAATCAAGCTGCTAAAATGACCATTTTATTTTAGTGCAGACTTGCCTAATCTTGACGTAGTTCAGCAGATTTGTATATAATTGTACAATTGAGGGAGGAGGGAAAGTGCAACAGTTTAATATGGTAGGTGGTTTTTTACTTTTTAATTGTGGTCCCTCCCCATTACAGCCCAATAAAATGAAATAATGTTTTCAGTATTTTTATTCCTAGTTGACTCTGCCTGTACTAATAGACAATAATTTAACTTTCTGCCTTAAGTAACATTTCTGCTTCTAAGACCTCTTATGCCCTTTTCATTGAAATTGATGTTTGTGGAAAGTAGAATACTGTATTGAAATCATTCCAATAGTAGTCAACTAGCATTTGATAGAGTTGAATCTGATAGAGGGACAATAGAAAAATCCTGCCAACAAATTCAGTCTGTGACAGTCTGTTATCTGTTGCCACTAAAGATGTATAGTAAAAATTAAGTTTAAGAAAATGGTAATGTCATATTAATTTAAAAAGAAAGCATGTATTTCAAATTTATGGATTATTTTGTTTAAATTCTTGTATTTCTGGGACTTCATTCAAAGTTCACTTTAGTAGTACATTGGTTTTGAATTCTGTGTTGCAATTTACTGAGAAAATAACAAGAAATACTAAGTAGTTTTCATAAACTACATATCCTAAGCATAATATTAAATTTTCTGTATGCTACCCGTATGGTGTTGGGACAAGGTTTAAACCTATAAATAAGATCATTTTTAACCTATTTTTCCTAAATAATACATAGTTTTATAGATTTATGCTATGAATAAGATCAATTTGCAATACATGTATTTCTCTTTTCTACCTGCTACAAGATTTTTGCGGACCAAATTTATATATTTGCTAATTTTAAACAATACTGTTTTTCAAACTTAAAATACTGAGGGAAGAATTGTAGGAAAAATTATCACTGACACACTGGGGTTTTGCCTTGTATTTAAATGTTCAATTGTAGACTACACATTTTTTCTCTTTAAAGGAGGATTTGATTCTCAAAATAGCTTAGAACATGAACTGGTGTTTTGTATATTTACATACTATTTTCTAGAGATACTACAAAGAGCACTTCCTTAAATTAGATTATTCCAGAAACATAGACTAGTTTAAATATCAGTTCCACCCTAGAAGGGACTAGAACAAAACTTACATAGTTTGTTTCTGTGGACCAAGTTCTCCTTTAAATCTGTGGACTGTTTTTCATTTTAATTAAATGAATGAACTTCATTATTGGTGTTTCACATTCTTTTTTTTTTTTTTTGTATAAATGTCTAAGAATTTCAGCAAAATGACTGTATGGAAATGCTTCTGCACACTAGGCATTTCCAAAATAAAGTTTGAAAATCTCGGTAATAATTACTTTTTCAAAGAGGTTATATTTCAGTTTGATGCATTAAGAAACTACTCTTTGGTCAATTAACTTATTTACTTTGTTTTACTTTGTTTTCAGTAGCTTTGAGTTGTATGGCAGACTTACAGACCTTGAGCCAGAGAGGAATGCTGCCCTACTGGTAAAAGAGAAAGGAATTAGAAGTACAGAATCGTCAAATGCTCAGGATCACACATGTAAAACCACCCTTCAATTAAATCAGTCAAGAAGGTCGAGTGCTTTCAGACAGAACACAGAATATTGATGCAACCATGTATTACCTTTTTTCCTTTGAGCCTACTGTTGCACCCTGTGAAGAGTTGTCCCATGAAGGAGACTAGTGGAAATAATGGTTTCAGAGCTGTTGTAGTTAAACAGGGGCCATGGCAGGGATGATAAACTCACCTGGCACCTGAGCATAAGAACATTGGTTATCACAGACCACCACATTTAACATCTGTCAGATGTGGAACAAGAAGGCTGCATGGAACGAGCTTAGTACCAAGCTACATAATCACCCAACAGAGTTTAATTTTTACAACAGTTTTAATGAATAAATGTAGTGATTCTTTCAAAAAAATTAACACAAACCAAGATTAATTTTACAGTGCAAGACTGAGTCCATTTGCATACAAAACTATTAATCTCAGCATTTTGATAGCTGAGCAAGTATACTAATTTTCTACAGTGATTCAGTTCAACCAATGTGCTAGCAATTACTTCAGTATAGTAATGGAAATACTAAACATGAAAGTTGTCTTCTGAACTTCTGTTTAAACCAAAAGTTGTCGAAGACAATGCTTGTAAGTACAGTTAAACATTGTAAACCAAAGTACTACACATTTGTGTTTTCACCACAGTCATCTGGGGTGTCAGGTGAAGAGATAAATACAAATATAATTACACAGCAAGTTTCTAATAATCAGAATACAATTGGTAGTTAGTTGAGAGCTAACTCAGAGGCTTTATTTCAATAATATCTGAAATATTTAATAGACTTTGTAGAAAACAATCTGTTAGCTTTTCTTCAGAAACATCTCTTGCAGTTCTCAGCTATTACTAAAATCAGTTCAACTGAATTAATTAAAAGATGTAAAACTTAGCATAAAAGCAAGAATACTCAGCTTCAAATCTGAGTTTTTAAAAGTCCTTGCTGTAACTTTCAGCTTTAGTTTAGCAAAAGCAGTAGCTGCAAGTGTCCCCTCCAGACCCCATTTTACCATGTGTGGCATTTCTCACGTACATCCTCTTGCAGGGCCAAAGAAGAGAACAGCTCTAGCTTCTCCTAACTTGTAGCCAAGCAGATTAAAAGGTGTGCCAGTCACCATCCTCACATCCTTGTAAGAAAGAAAAGCAGGGGCCTCAAGATGCCCACAAGCTTGAGTGGAGCAGGTAACGCTACTGTTGTGGTGTCAATTAAGCTAGAATAGTCCTCCCTCAGACTGTGTATATAGAGCAGTCTGTAATTCACTCCAGATAAAGTGCTCTACATTAGCTTGACCAGGGTATAAAACCATTTCACTGTTTTGCAGAACTCAGCTAGGGAGATAGCAGGTGGAAATCTCCAATCTGGCTCAGCTACAGCTAGAACAATTTCTGATGTACCAGCTATGCCCTTCGTTTGCAGTATCTCACCTTCTGCTCTGCACAGAGATAGTAAGCTTGCAAAATTTAGGCTTATTCTTTCTGAGAGGGATTATGCATGTCTCCTGCAGAACAAAAATCACAGAATTACATGCAGTTAATTGAGAAAAGGATTAGTTCTCAGTGGCGTTAACTGCATCGCTCTTAAAACATTCAGGAATTACAGGGATCGAGGTGCAACATTCATGTGTATGATTTGAACAAAGTTGGCACAGTAGGCATTAAAAGAAGTTGAATCCTTTCTTAAAAGGAGGAGTTTGTACCTGAAATGTAATATTCAGTCCCCTCTCTATCTTCCCCAGTATGTTTTGACAGTTTGATACACATTCTGCTCACCATGTTTAAGTTACAGTGTGACTTCCAGTTACTACAAAAATGAGACCAGAAGCACATCACAAATACAAAGGTATTTTCAAAAACTGTTAATTCCACTTTTTTTTAAATACTCCTGAGAAGGCAGCTTATATTGTCAAAGTAATAGAGATGCCCTATGAAGGGCAAATTTTAAAAAATCTGTTTATTAAAATAGTTTCCTTTTACAGCTGTAACCTGACAATTTCAAGTCTGAGAACTTACGAGGACTATAACGTTGATGCTGCGTTTTGGTAGGACCTACAGAAATACAGGCAAATGCAAGACAACATTGTACTGTACACAAGCCAGCATTAGTTGTTAATTCACAATAATCAGGGAAAGATAAGCTTTTCACATGTATTATATGTTCACATTACAAAAAAAGAAATTCGACCGATGCCCCATACCTGAGATACATTATACCAGTAGTTGCAGCTAAAATTTTTTTATTATTTATTTTTTATCCCTACAGAGGTAAGCGTGATTTCTCTGGGTGAAAAAACCCTTGATGTAGGCAAGGTGTGCTGGCAACATATCTTACTTTGCTAAATTAGGCTTCAGCATGCTGAAGATAAAAGAATAGCAAATGCCATACAGGTGCAAAGGTATAGCAATAAGCTCCTCAATATTTCTCACATGAGTTTCTCATTAATCTGTAATATTGTATAATGGAAAAATGCTCCAGTGAGCTTTTTCAATAGTTTTTCCATTAAAACGGTTTTGTAATTATATAAATTAATACCAGATGTGCTAGAGATTGCACTGATCCCTATAAAACCCAAAATACTGCTCCCTTGACTTAGCTCTTAAAGTAGCCAAAACCAGAAAATGAAACAAATTGTGACGTTCTTAAAATTTAAAAGTATGTACAAGTTTGGGAGTTTTGGTGGTTGTTGGTTTTTTAATTTCAGAAAAGACTATTACACTACACCTTCTATTACTCCACTTAAAATTACTTTCACATATCAAACTTGGTCACCATCTTGGTATAAATCAGGTCTTTTAAATTGCCTTTACAGACAAACCTACTTCTTATGAGCTGCCAAGGAAAAAGCTACATACTGCGAAAAGTGGTCATGTCCTTTGGCTCACTGCTTGGCACACACCAGTCATCTGCTTCATGGTTTGCTTTATAATGCTTCCAGGCTGCTTTGTTATACACAGGGAGTCTTTCAATTGATTCTGTTGATAAGGCCTGTAAGGAGAGAAGACTGTAACTGATGATTCTTTTTAACTGAAGTTATAGTTATAGAACAAGGAGTTCCATTAGCAGTTTAGATTACAGTTGCTGATAAATGTAAATGGTAAAGTGTTACATCATACCTTGATGTAAATAACTGCATCTGTACCATAGCCCTCTAAGGAATAGAGTTTCAGGTCTCCTTGGAAGTACTGTGCATACAGACGTGATATGGGTAAGCCATAACCAAATCCAGCCTGATCCAGGAAAAAAGGTATATTTCCATTAATTGCATCAATCAGTGGTGTTTTCTGCTTTAACTTAACAAGTAAACAGACAAACTAAGCATGATGTTTGACAGTAAGAGGAGTTTATATGTTAATTATTATGGCCCCTCAGAACTATTATACATCCCAAAAGCAGAAGAATGCATGGATGATTGTGATTATAAGAAAACTGTTTTATTCCTTTGTCAGCAGGGCTGGTAGTTAACATTTCCTGTATTGTGGGAGCTTTTTGAAGAAGAGATACCATTAGAGAAAACTGTACTGTGTCTGACTTATGTCTCATGGAGCTACTAATCTTAAGAACACCGAGGACTTAAGTCAGATACATTTCATCAGCAGTATATATAAAAAAGGTTCAAGACAAAATGTCTCTGAATTTGTAGCTTATACTAAAATTCTATCAAGCCCTGACTGCAGTAGCAGGACATAGCCCTGAAGTGTTGGGCATAATTTTTTTTCACTTACTGAATTTTAGAGGTAATCTCTCAGTGAGCATACACAACACTTCTCTGTAAAGATCTAGTGTTTAATGAGTTGCAGACTCATCTATGTGCAGAACACTGATCACTGATGCAATGTGGGAGAATAAATACAGGAAAGCTGTTCAGAGATTCTGACTGGGAGCTTAGGCTTTATTTCTTGTGCATCTATTACATTCACATGAGACCAAAGTAAATTCTTCATATGGCCTGTTACATCTGTGCTCCTTCATCCTTGCTGGGAGATGGTACAATTGACCTCACAGTGCAAATGAACACAGTGCCTTGACCCAAAGTCATTGCTATAATTATTTTTCCGTTCATGCAGTGGCTACAAAAAGAATTCAGTGTTCTGTCCTCATTACAGTACGTGCAGCATAGCTAAGTGTTCTGCTTGAGGTAGCTGATCTTTAGATGTAGTAGAGGAAAACAGAATCTTGAATAATTTTTAGTATTTTATGCAATTTTCCAGTTATTTTCAGAAAAATACTCAAATTAAGCTATAACATTCAAACGGCAATACTCATTGTATCTATAAAATCAGTACTTCATAGCTTTGGCTAAATGGTTTCTTTTGTGACCATTAAACATAGCCAAGATGCCAAGATATGAAAGATTTGCATACCAAAGGTGTAGCTCGTGAAGTCTCAACACGAGGACGTGGTGCTGTTGAATACATGTAGTTGAACAGTCTGTCAATTTTCCTCATAGGAACACCACCACCACGATCACTCATCTGGAACAAGAAGGAGCATGTAGTGTTATGTCCCTGAATACAATTTTATAAAAGACAGCTTTTCTCAAACAATAAAAAACCTGAGAAAGTTCAGGTAAAACATCATATGAAGTTGTCCCTGTTAAGTTACAGGTCTTCTTTAATTCTAATCTCCAGCAATGACCAGAGGGAGATCAATCCCTCCCTTTCATCCCTTATCCAAACCACTAAACAAAATACTACTGTAAGCATCATTCATATTCTCTTGGAAGCAACAATATTCTCCTTAAATTGTGCATGGCTTTTATCTTTTGTCTGAGGTCAGTATCTATATTATTTACAAAATACCAGGTTCTCTGTATTTTTAATCTTTATTCCTCAGGAATACTACCAGTTGAATATAGTTTACTAAAACCTGTTACTGAAGGACTAAATCAAAGGAGTTGTTTTACTACAGTTTAGTTAAAGACCTATGAAAAACCCAATGCTCGCAGCTGGTATTTGAAATCCAACATGAATATTGTACAGAAAAAGAAGAAACTTCAAACTGTACTTAAGGAGGTTTGATTTGTGTGGAATATACAATATTTTTTGTTTGTTTTTCAGTTGTTTCACACCTGTATAGCTCTGTCATTGTCACTTAAAAAATGCTTATGTTAAAATTGCATAAAGATGCTCCTTCATTTTTAGTCATGGTTGCTTACAAGGTAGGCAAAACATGGCATGACAAAAGCACAGGATGCTATTGCAGAGCCTTCAGTGTGACTGTGCAACCTCGTCATGAACTTCCTACTAATGCACCATGTGAAATGCCATAATGGTCTTTTTACTTACATACATGATCACGTTCCATCTATTGACGGAACCAGATCACCCGCTACAGTTAGTAATATGCTGCCTGTGGCAGGGAAAAAAACCCTGATCAAAATAATCTTCAAAGTAATAAAAAAAAAAAGTGGGTACCTTCACAGTTAAATCCTCATTTCCCAACGTGACGTGTACATGAATTGCAGGATAAATGCATCGATCAGCATTATGTTCCATGGTGGCTCTCATTGCATTCTGCAATTTTCAAGTACAACTTAAATCCTAATTCACTTTGCATATTACCTTAAAACATCATTTTAGGAGTTATTTTTATCACCTATTTTCAGAAGCAGAAAAAAATGTATATTGGTTTAGAATAATTTTTTTTATATTTTTGGTTTATTCAGTATCAGTATTTATATAGTTTGTTAAAATACACAGACTTCAAATATTTACTTTTTTTAAAGGAAACATCTGAATAGTTAAACTTACAGAGTTTTTGTTGTAGAATTCTTTATAATGCACAGTACATGCAATATGACACAAAGATCAAGAAAAGTCTAGGACTGAACTGCTTGAGGAAAGCTTTGGAGGACCTATTACACATTTTATCAGATTCGAAGATATCCCCAAAATTGTGTATCTTATTCTCACTTGCTTTATTAAGTAAATATCTTCATATATTTTAAGATTTTAAGAACTGTCTGTTCAGCTGTCAGATGTATTCAGTGGCTAGGCAAAGGAGATACATCTTCCAAAGCTGTTCATTTTCTATTCAATTACTGTTTGTCTAAACAGTACAATTTAGTAATGTTCCTGCAAGTAGCACAAGGTTTGCACTTGCAAAAACAGACTGCTATCTAGAATTGATTCAAAAGGTAAAACCAATACAATCTCAGTAAACAAAGATGTACAAAAGACTTGCGTAATGATAAGTGCACAGACCTTGAAAAGTTCAAAAACCATGTGATAGAGGTGTGATGGCACATACACCACTTGCATGGGCTGTCCTGGTGATTTAGCTGGAGAAAAGAGAGTCTAAATAATTAAATGGCAAATGAGGTATCTTTTATTCGTTCTCTCAGTAGTTCAAAATGTGAATCTGTATTGCTGAATTTTCGAAAGAAGGAAAATTTTAACAGAAATCTTGTGAAAAGTTGATGTTAATCAAAAGTCACACTCAAGATTTTCAAATGCTGTTTGCTGCTTTAGAAATTAATCTTAAAACCACTTTGGCATCACTGATCAGGGCACATCATAGTTGCTTTCTATAACCCTCGAGGAGGTTATAATGAAGATGGAATGGAATGCTTGGTATAAATCTTTTAAGTGTCACAAGAAATGCAGAGAGGGTGAGATGCAGTAGTGTAGGTGAAGACATACAAGAAATCTTACAGAGGGAAGGAGGCTGCTAAAATTTGTTACATCAACAGCTGTAGTGTCAAAAACTTTTCTACGGATTTCAGTCTTCCAGTTAAAGGGAGGAATGGGGAAAGCCTTCTGCCAGATTTTTAAAAACCCAAACTATTTACAACAGTAGATCCAAGAGAACACATTAACTATACGAAAGGCAGAAGGAGGACATTCCACCACCAGCTACTTTAGAAGAAGCCATCATGATGTTCAGGAGGGTGCCTCATCCACATTCACTTACCGTTCAGCTCTTCAAGGATAAGTTCTGGAGAGCTCATGTAATATAAATCACAAAGTCTCTTGGCACTTTCATAGCCATCTATAATAAAAACAGAGGAAGTTAGATTTCCCCCTCCCACTTTTTTTTTTTCCTTTAGAGTTTGCCAAAAAGAAAAACAAAAATTGCAAGTACTGTGCACTGTCAGGGAGATTTTTTATTTTCTGACAGAAGGTGGGTTTATAGGAAAAAGATAGAAATTGCATTACACTCTAAATAAAACTTCTACTCCAGGTAGAAAAGAACTAAGCGGTATATGAGTATCAGGATGTGTATTTGCTCTTAGTACAGATATTCATGTAAATTTTCAGGATTCTAGTTCTTATCTGCTGAATTTACCTCTAATAACTTCAACAACGTTGCAGTTAGGATCGATGCTTCCAATGTGTTTTGGATGAGCTGGATTAATTTTCCCACCAAACAGTAAAGCTGCCAAAAAAGAAAATATTATTTAATACCCAGTATAATTTTATAATTTTAGTTTACATCTTCAGCTATGCTAAATAAAAATTTTATAGGCAATCTATATTTCCAGTCTTCACCATACTTGAAAGATTACTATTAATAAATATTTTAGGGGTTGAATTGAGTTTATAAATAGCAAGGCAAATAGCGTACTCATAAGTAGCATTTAAGTACATACGAAGCACTTAAAAATTAAAGGAAGATACACTTGACATAGTACAGGTACCATTTCCCCTCCTTTCAGCACTGGCACTTACAGTGCTGGTTAAGGAGCATCCTGATTGAAATGCGACTCATGTAGAAACGGTCTAAAAAATACTGCACGTTCTGTGAGGTCACTGGATCAATGCCAAAGCTTTCCTTGTACTCTATTACTCCTTGAGCCATCGTAGGAATTACATCATTGTGCCGATTCCGGATTTTTATCACGGTATCTGTAAAACTAAAATTAATACATTGTTAGTATTTCACTTTCAAGGGAATTTAATACTCTGGCAAACAGAGTACCTGCCTACAAAAATGAAGACTGTTACATACAGAAATATCACAGGTCTGCCTATTGCAGTAAGAAGACAGGTCAGACTTTACAGCGTATTTTAGGGGACTAGCATTGAAACAATTCAACTGTTTTGACTATTTATAAAATTACTATTTATTTATTTAATTATTATCTTGATTACTGCCACAAGAAAGAGAAAACCGCGCCACCGTTTTCATGCAGAACATCCCATGTCTATCAAATGGCACTTATGGTCAGCCAACACTAACCAAAGCCTCTCTACAGAACAACATGATGTTACAGTGTTTTGTTTCCTGTTTTCCTGTACCCTCCTTTTAGGGACAGGGGGTGACATTACTGCACTTCTTATGTAAAGATTTGAGATATTTTTCTTAACCTATTGTTTTCTTGCCAGTTCTTCCATATAATATTAACAAAATATTAACATACGTGACAGCAAATCCTTACCTGTGAATAGCCCCTGAATCTTCTGAGCTTTTGTCCTTAAAGTCAAGGATCTCCTGAAGACTTTGGACGTACCTTTCAATGAAAGAAAAAGGACAAAGGCCAATTCTAATATGCCTCCCCAGATCTCTTTGGTTAGCAATTTGTGGTCTTCTAAGGTTGCTTGTTTCCATGTCATAGTACCTGTCCCCCATGAATTTTGTTAGATTCTTTTGAATCTATTCATGACATTTCTTCTAAAATTTCCAGAGTGATGAACTCCACAATTTAATTAGAATGCATAAAGGATCATCTTTGTATTTTAAACCCAGTGGGTGATCACTTATTTGCAGCCCCAGCAAGTTCCTGTTATTAGAAAAATCTTTCCAGCTTATTCATGAATTAAGTATTTCTGCCATCTATTCCTTAGATGCATATTTTTCAAGCTGAAGAATTCTATTTGGTTTCTCTTCACGTAAAAATTGTTCCAACCCTCTGATTATCCCTCTTGGTCTTTTCTGTTTAGGACAGAGTGACTAAAACAGCATACAATTCAGAGGAATAAAGGGCTAACACAGTCGTACAATTGTATTCCTCCCCATTTGTTACTTAGTTCCTAACACAATTTTCCTTCTTGTCCATCAACTGACATATTTGGAAAAATATTCCCAGTAGCATCAAAATTTCTTTTTCCATTGTAAGCAAGCAATTATACAGGGAGAGGAGAGTCCTCCCTGTGTTCTACCTTGCATTTGTCCAAGTAGAATTCATGTCCCATTTGATCAATGTCATTTACTATCATGAGAATGTAAGCATTTGTGTTTCATTAAGAGCCTTCCTCTTCATTGATAGCTCTTTTTATATTCAGTCATCTAATCAATCCTACTTATTCACTGGCAGGTTTTCTGTTCTCTTAACTTTAAAAGCCTTTCCAGATATCTTTGTGCCTTTAGCTGTTGCCAAGCAATCTCTTTGTTTTGCTTTCATCTTAACAAGTTTATATTTATGTGTAAGTTCCTTATCTGAAAGTAAATGTTACTTTTCAAAGAATATCTTTTTTACTTTAATAGTTTCATATTCTTTCTATTGTTTTATGTTTTGGCTTTGGGAGCTTCCTATTGCTGTCTTCATATTTTCTACATCTTTACTATCAATATGCAATAACCTGTCTTGTAAATGGTTTCTAGTATGTTTTTGCAAGCATGTTTTGCAGGCCTTACCCTGCTTCTGTTGGTTTCTTCAACTAGCCTCTTCATTTTTATGTAAGTCCCCTATTAAACATTGTTCTGGTGGATTTTTGTTGGGGTTTTTTTAAATTAAAATGTTTTGAATTCTCATAATACATGAGTGTCTGCAATACTCAATGATTTTTTAATTCCCTCATGGGTTCTCTAATTGCTGCTTAAGAGTTTTTTCCAAGTCTGTAAATTTAGTTTCTGATCTATATCACATTGGATATTTAGTATCTCACTTTACATAAGGGATGTTCATGTAACAAGCCCATGAAATGTTCTTTCAGTAGAAAAGAATGAGTTCCTCCAACCTGTGTATATGCAGAAGGTATGAAGTGTCACTGTTCTTACCAGCTCTGAACCAGCTGAACTGAAGGTGTTCTCAGGAGGTTGTCTGGAAGCAGACTTATTTCCTTCATTATGTTTGCCAATCTCACAGGCAGCTCTTGTCGCAGAAACATAAATGAAGTCTTTTCACAAGCATTTTCAGATCCTAAGACCAAAATAAATATATGACATCAGAATAAAGTCAACACTTATGGCAGAAAACTACACAAAGTCTTACTTTCTTGCATAAGAGGCCTGTGGCTTGGTTTCAAACTTGACTTGGCCAGGCTGGTAAGGCAATGTTTCTTTCATGGCAGCAGCCCATTTGTATTTCAAAATGTACCTCATATTGTGACCTACCAGCCCTGTTCGCGTAAGGAGAATCTTCAATATACAGAGCAATAGCTGCAGACCCAAACTATTCAACTTTAAATGCAGCTTCTGTCCATGTATATTGTTCATTTTATTTGCAGCAAGCACTGACTCTAACCACCACTGATCAAACAGTATGTCATTCTGAGCGTGTCGGAGAGGCAAATGAAACCAGCACAGGAAACTATTTATGGGAAGGGTGTTTGAGAAAGTATCTTGGTCCCATACACCCTGCTTTTGATCACTGATCTTACTGAATTACCATAAGACATATTGGAACACTTTCAGAAAATAAATTCTGTAATACTGATCTCATTTTCAGTTGTAGTTTAAGTTCATTGTCTTACAGGAACAGAAGACAGATGAATGAATTCACATGAATACCGAGAAAGAAATGAAAGTAGGACAGCTACTGTGCTTATCTATTGGCATAGTAGTTTTTCCATACATTTACTTTTAAATTTTTTTACATTTTTAAAAGGTAGAAGCTTTTGATAAGAGACCTGCCCTTTGTTAAAGACAGATGTCATCTGTGTGGGTGGCAATTAAACGTGGTTATTAAAAGCAAGACCTGAGTTTACTCCCACAAAGCTTGTTTTCCTAAGCGAGACAGGAGAGTGCAGCATGGGGAAGAGGCTAAGAAATACTGTATATCACTCTCAGCCAGACTTCTGTCTGGACTTCACGAGTGTCATGTAAACAGCACCTGAACTTACTAAACTGCTCATCTTCTGCACTGAAGTACATACCTCACCCTGGTGTTTTACAGCAGGTGTCTCCTAAAAATTAACTCTGGTGTACTGCTCAGTTCACTCTTTCCATCTGGCAAGGGGGAGTTGGGGAAGAAAATTAAAGGAAGGGACATGAAAAAAAAAAAAAAGGGAAGCTGGGAGTGTCTTAAACAGGAAAAATCTTCACCAAATTGAAATGGAGTACCTTACTTTAAAGCATCCAGACTCAGATACATCATAAACTACACTGATGAAAGAATGTCAGTTAACTTAATGAAAAGGAAATTCCTCCCCAGTGGCACTTACCAGTATTATTTGTTGTCTACATATGACCTCTGCCCAGAAACCTTTCATTCTCCCTAGTCAGATTGCTGTGACTGGCGTGACTGTTACTGGCCTTTCCCTTTTCTTGGGTAAAATTCCACAAACAAGTCAGACTGAAGGTATTAGAACATAAATATAATCTTTAAATGCCTCATATACTCAGCAAATTACACTCCACAAAATAGTTTTTGTATCTGGAGGCTGCCTTTTTGCAATCCTGGGTCAAATGTGGAAGGCAGTTTAGGGCAGGACTTTGCTGAATGGACAAATGAGTCTTTCCCTGTGCAGCTACAGTCTGTCTAGGCAAAGAATGGATAAGACTCCTACAGAAAATACTGTGGGCTTGTAAGTCAAGATATGACTGATGTATATGAGCCAGACCTAAATTTGCTTATGGAATATTTCATTTTTTTAAGTTAGCATTAGCAGATTTATTTCCTCTTTGAATGCTCTTCCTAGAGCAAAAGGAGACAAAAAAATCCCTAATGAAAACATCATCAGATTATAATGGCTACAGAATGTCTTAAAGACTGTCTCAGTCTTGCACTCTACTCTCTTTTTTGCCTTTGTTATTAATTTTTCACTATCTGTGATTAAATCCTTAAGCAAAGGAGAGAAAAAAAAATTAAACATTTTCAAAATTATTTTTACCTTATGTTCAAGTAACTAACAGTAAAAAAGTAGTCTATCTTTTGACACAAGGGAATAGTGAAAATAAACACTGATTTTAAGGTAAGCATTACTTTATCAGTATTTAGTGGTAAAATAATACAGGTCAGAGCAAACTCTGAATTACAAGATTCTTTGCTTAAAAGTATGGTAGCAACAGAACATCGGGTGGGGTTCCTGTGTGAATCCAGAGTTTAAATGTTGGATACATTTCATTGCCACAAATGAAATGTTGAATAGACGGATAAGTGACAGTAGACAGTTAAGTTTTCTTTGTAAGTCTTCCTACTTACACGAAGTCTGGGGCTCTATGACTAGTTCTCAGTTATGTTTTACTTACAAAAATGTAAAAAGCAATGCAACTATTAACTAGTTAAATGCTTATATGCAACACTTACGTAAGCATTTATGTGCACCAGAGTGCCTTGGATACAGAAAGGCACTTACAGTGAGACTTACACAACCTTTCCCTGTGTGGTCTTTGCTTTGAAGCAGAACAGAACAATTGCTGTGATCCCTTTTGTTTCCAAGCACACAGTCAAACCTGGAAGCGTTATGAGTGGTTTTAGTGAAGAATATAAGACCGAGTATCCCGTTACTGATCTGATTCCGAATCCTCCAGGATGGCTCTTGGTCTCTGCATCCTGCTCCTTCTAAACCAGCAAATTTTGGGTAAGGTGTTTCTGTAGGGCACAGACATGCGACTCAGAAGTGATGACTGTTCCAGCCCCTCGGTGCCATCTGAGGTTAGGTGTTTCCTGTGTTTGGAATATACCTTAAAAGGTGACACGCTGCCAGCTTGCAGAAGGCTTAACCAGTCTCACCTGAGTCACTGCTCTGACACTACCAGCTGTCCCCACCCTCTGCCCTGCAGGATCTGCAGGAAAACGCCCAGCTATTCTGGTGGTGCCAAAAACTGGAGTTTTCAGCTGAATTTCCACCTTGTCACATTTCCAGTCTACGGGAAGGCGCCAACTAGGCTCCCTTGTCCCAAAAGGAAGCAGGGCCTTTTTGTGCCAGAGAGCGCAGCACTAACATGGGATAAGCAACAGCGGGCAGCGCTGACGGTGGAGGGTCGCGGCCGGAGCCGCCCCGCTCCTCACAGGCACCTGCGGGAGCAGGGGCAGCGGGGGGAGTGCGGCCCGGCAGGGACTCACCGAAGTCCAGAAACTGCTTCATGGAGAGCGGTGAGGGGGAGAAGCGGGAATAGAAATCCACCTGCTGCGGGATGGTGCCCGGGGCGGCCCCGCGCAGCAGAGCGCGCAGCAGCCTCATGGCGCGGCTCCCTCCGCTCAGCTCAGCTCAGCTCAGACCGGCCCAGCACAGCCGCCATTTCCCGCCACGCCGCTCCCCCGGCCCCAGTCCCTGCCCAGGCCGCCTCCGCCGCGCCGCCAGGAGGAGGTGCCCGAGGGGAAGGTGGGCGGAGGGGAGGGCGGCTCTGAGGGAGCGGGGCGGGGGCGCCCGGAGCAGCCCGGCAGCCCCTGAGGTACTTCGACGGCCCGCCGGGTGAAGGCGGCGCTCGCTTCCCGGAGGGGCCCCGCCACGGTACAGGGGCGCTGCGGGGCGGGTGCCGCCGCCTGCCCGGCGAAGGGCTGCGGGGCGTTCGCTGGCGCCGGGCTGGGGCGGTGGGTGCGGGGGCCCAGGCACAGGGATCCTTGCGGGCTCGGCCGTGCGCTGCTCAGCGCGGTTCGGGGCGGGGACGGGGCCCCCAGGGGGCGGTGGGAGGGCAGAGCCTCACCTGAGGGAGTCGGTCTTCTTGATAGCGCACCCTTTGCCCAGCTGCGGGATGGGCTGGGATTTGTTTCTGTTATCAGGGAAAAAAAAGAATTAAAAAAAAATACAGAGAAAAAATAGGGCTTCTGCCTTTACAAGTAGACTCCCGATTTGTCAACAGTGAGCACCATATGCATCTGTATTGGTTAAAAATCACTTTGACCATAGATCACATTAAATCACTTTAGTGGCTGTTAGGATGCTAATGCAACATGTGAGGTACCAAACAGTGTATTTAATAGTTTATTGTCCTGCTCTGGTAGAAATATCTAGAATATGAAACAAAAAAAGCAGTTGTGATTATAAGCATTTCTGATAAACTTAGATGTTAAGGAAGTTTTGACACTAGGCTCTCATCTCCAACAAATAGGTTTATTGGCACAGATCAATTTTGATATCTGGTAGCTTGGTACCTCAGAAGAGAGACCCCGACAAAGAAATTCCTGGGAGTGATGCACTTCTCAGCTCTGTACTGTTGAACTCCTCCACTTACAAGAAATGAAGCGATATCTTGCAAACATTTCTGTTAATCAACTTACCGTGTTATTTCCAAAGTATTTGACTTTTCTGTCCCTTCTTCCCCTATCCCCTGATGACACTGGGATTGAGAGGTGAAATACTGTTTATTAGTGCCAAGGGGGTATATGTTGGTGTGCAGTAGTTAGGTAAGCAGAAGCAAGGACACCTCCTCTTGCAAAAACCTGTTCTGTCTGCCTGTTTTCTATGATGAGGGAGGTATGGCCCTGAAAAGGTGCAGCTTGCAGACAAACATTTTGGAGAGCAAGAAAAGGAGGAAAGAGGTCTATCTTGCAGTATGGAAAATGCAAACTGCAGGTCCCCAGTCCATGTACAGTGACCGTGTCACACCTTGGCTCTGTCTTGGGCTAAGGAGTTTCTGTGTTTTCTCACAAGGATCATGGTTAGGACTCAGCAAGGCTTATGAGGCTGTAAAAGGTGTATAGCATCTATGACTCCATAGCCTGGGAAGAGAAACAAACATTTAACGGCATCTGAGGACCGGGATAAAAAACTGAAGCAAGTGCTTACACAGTCCCTATGGGGAGATACACTGCTTCCATTCTTCCTGTGACACACAGGCTGTTGTCTGGCAGGCCAGCTGAAGCACGTCCAGCATGTCCATGGGCCTCTGCTGGCTCAGCATGCCAGCTACAGTTGCCTGGTTGTTTCATTACAGCTTGTTCTCCTGGGTTTTGCAAACCAGCTGCTGCCACCTTTGCCTACTCTGTGCTGGGAGAAGTTATTTCAGCTGTTTGTAAATGAGCAGCTTTCTGGTTCTGTGTGGTCTGCTGATATTAGTTTAGACACACTCCAGTCATGATGATTAGCATTGGAACGTGGGTGCTTTGAATGGGGACTGGTAGTTCAGTGCCACTTTCAAAAGTTTCCTTTCACTTTATGGGCTGATTCCTGATATTTGTGTCCACCCGAGTGCCCTGTTCTTTTTCCACATATAACTTCTGCACAGGTCGTTATTGAAACTGTGCTGTGGTGGTCCCTTGCATTGAAAGCTTCTCTCATGAGATGCATCTCCTGTGCTCTGACAGTCAAAGGTACGTGAAGGTATTGCAGTTTACCAACATCCCACTTATGTACCTTAGGGGTATATAGTGTATCTATTTTTTATGTAGATACATACACACTGCACACACTATATATAGCAAATATAGTACATTAGGTTCTATAAGGGTACATATATACATACTATACACATACACTGTTATTTATAGTGCTGTATCACTATATATATAGTATATACTATATATAGTACTGTGCATGTATGGTATATATCAGCATATATAAAGCACAATATACTATATTAGTACTAAACCTTATGATCTGTTCTCCCAGTCCGTATTTTGTCTTGTTGTAGAAAAATGTTTGTTGTGCTATGTGAATGAGAATACTTGTTTAATAAATGCAGGTTGAGTTCACATCTTGGACATGCTCTGAAGGGTCGAGTGGCATCTTCTGGTTCTAGTCCTGGAAGTTTCCTGGCCACAACAAACGCTGGCCTAGCACATATCCAGCTAACCCTTATCTTCAGGCTTTGTTGCATTAAAAGGCCTCTCAGCAAAGGCGAACAAAGGATCCTGTGAGGGCTGACATCTTAAAAACGGAGATAAACTATGTTTTCTCTGTTGGGTTTGGTGGTTTTTCCCCCTGCATATTTTTGGCTTTTCTGTGGGTTTTTTTGGTGGACTTGAAGCTGTACCCTGCAATTGTGTTACTGACTGTCAGTATCAATCTTTCACTGCTAAATAGAGATAGGTATATGAAGTCCTTGACCAATTTTATGGATGTATCCCTCTCCCCTACTTACTCAAACACTCATCTGGCTGTATTTAGGAAAATTTTTACGAGGCTGGTTGCATTAAAGGTCCCCTGGGCAGTGTGAGCGCAAGCATGGAGTGAGGAGAGGGCAGCTTGCCTTGCTGGGAGCTGACACTTGGAGCTCTGCCAGGCTCCAGGCTCTGCCTGACCCTGAGCAATGCTGGCAGCCGCAGCAAGTAGCAGAGAGCCTGCGAGCACGAGATTGTGCGTTATCTCCTGCAGCTCCTTGTCTGCCCCTCTGCGTGGGGCAGGAGCAGGAGCTGTGGCAATATCGAGAATTGGAGAACTTGTTACAGTTTGTGGCTTTCAGCATATTCTACTGAACTTAGTTATGGCCACCTCAGTTAAGTATGATAAAATCACTATTACCAAGACAATGTTTAATTAAAAAAAATTTATTTCACACTTCTATACAAATATCCACAGGTCATTTCTAATCATGGAATGATGTAGCATTGTTAGCCAGTATAATGAAAGTTTCAGATAAAAGTATACCAGTGACATGACTTATTTTTCAAGAACTTTCACTTTAACACTGCTAAGACATTCATGTTCTTAGGCGAGGGCCAGAATCTGCTTTTAGATTCAGGGGTATTTGTTAAGCTTCTTAGCCTCTGATTAGCCTGGCTTCTGATGTTGCTGAGCCTTTCAGCAAATAAGCTAGAATTTTAAAAGCTCAAACACTGGGTAACATCAACATTCATATGCAAATGTTCATAAAATCAGCCATAACATATTGAGATTATTTAGTGTTAAGAAAGATGAGTGTAGTAAATTAATTGTAACTTTTTAGGTGACCACACCTTCGTACTAATGTTCAAAGTTAGTAGTAAAAATAAGACACTTGACAACTGCCCTCCTAGCAGGTTTTTACCCTATGAGGGGAAAAAGTACCAAGAGGTTTTTGCATAGTTCAAATTACGAGCAATTAAATGCATACTTTTTGAGCAGAATTTTGTTTCACATGGAATAAACAGTTTTGAACTAAATCTTTGTTCTTAAATAGTACCAACACTTTAAAACATGGGTAAAAAAGTAAACTCTTTAAATAATTTTATCACTTATGGTACAGTAACTAGATTACTGATAAACAACATCATGGTTGTACTTTATCAACATTCAGGTATTCGAGATGATTCAGTAGTCTCAATGTGGATCAGCTCCAGATCCACACAGTTAAGGTACATGAGGCATCTACAGACTCCTTCAAGTGCTGTATAACAGTTGCAGTAGTCAATGCCTTTTGCCAAACAGGAAGTCCTTATGAAGCTGGAAAGCTGTTTTGAGAGAACTCACTTTCTTACAGCAAGTATAAAACTCTATCTAAACCCCTACTTCTGCTTGGTGTCCAAATCCTTAAATAGTCTGCAATAATATACAAATCATGTTACAAGACCTGATGTTACAACACATAAACTTACAAGTATCAGGAAAAGAAAGGCCCCATACACATTATTAGCATAAATATTTACATTTTTAGAAAGTATTGGCACCTTCAGTTACTTATTAAAATGCAGTGAAAGCCTCAGGTCTCATAATCTTAAATTCAAAAACACAGTGGATTTGAAAATTCATTTAAGTCTTTGGCCTAACAGTGAGTCAAAGACAATGATTTATAACAAAAATAAATACAAAAATGACTAAAATATATATATACAAAAAGTACATCTAATATTCAAGCCTCTCTTTTTAAAAAAAACCTGTGTATATTTGTTGTGAGCAAGAATCACACAATCTGATCTTAAAAAAAAAATTTAAAAAATCAAGCAACATGACCCATTGCACATGTAATTTAAGATGATGCTTCTTGTTAAGCCCTAACTACTGCAGCAGGTAAAGGTTATGACTAAAGCAAACTTGCAGGTCTTCAGTTATACTTGAACAAAATGTGTTAAGGCCACTGTGTGTTTGTAAAGCACTATGTATTGAGGGAACAATGGAGAACCTGTCTTGACGTTAATCGTCCATTCCTTACATACCAGGAAGAAGGTCAGGATCACAGGAAAAGGTCTGCTATAGTGGTTTTGCATATTTTGCAGAAAAGACCCCAAATCAACATAGTATTTTCTGACGTGTGGGTTAGATTTGAGGGGGGAAAGAGGCAGTCTGAAAATTAAATAATGCAAATAAAGTCTGTTGAAGCAATTTTAACTGTGCAAATAAAAGCCTCAGTATAAGTAGTAATATCTACAATCAAATGGTGAATGTCCATAGTGTTCATAGGTCTAACTCCATCAGTAC